GGTGAGAGATACCGACTATAAAGGTAAGGCTCAGGTGTGGATTGACTCCTGAATGTCAGTTTTGAGATGTTTTTAAGAGGAGATAAATGCTGAGTTTGAGCTTTGGCTCCACACTAGTGATAACAACCCCCTTCATGCAGTGTTGCCCAGTGACACAGCAGTCTCCCTGCAGGAGTTTGATTCACACCCAGTAACTTAAAGTTACCGTAGGAATGCGCCTTCTTTTGAATTCCTCTCTCCTTAATTTATTTTTTTTATCTTTTGACTTAACCCTTTTCCCTTTAAAACCTTTTAAGCCTTTGCATTTTACAAAGTTTTGATGATCCAATAACCACAATAAAGAAATAAAACGACAGAGTAAAAAAATATGAAAATGATGCTACTCTCTTTTTCTTTGCGTCACACATATTTTAAACTACACAACACAATAAATAATTGGATTCCACAAACTATTTGGTTGCTTATCATCAGTAATTTTGAACACTCCCCCCTTTGTATATACATTTTCTTTAAATGTGATATGACTGTCTACGTGTCTGGTGCATTTTACTTTTAAGTTTGCATTTAAAGTTTCGTGTCATTTCCCTCACATTAGAGGAAGACAAGAAGGCTTTTGTGGGTGCAGACTTTGTAAAAAATGGCGTCTGATATAGGCTGCCTCCATAAGAGCAGCTGCGCTTTCAGTGACCACAACATCAGTGCATTATAAGTCATCTCCCAAGAATGAATTCTGCCACCGCATCGGGACTTGCGTCGGACAAGAAAACACACAGCACAAGCCGCCTTCATCATGGGAAACTACGACAGATTCGCTGCAGATGTTTCCAACGAACAAGGCAATGAACATTTTCACGGATACCAGGGGACATGATCGCCGTCCACTTATTTATCTCCCGTTTACTATCGAAGAAGAAGTGACCTTCTCTGAGGCGGAAGATGTCAGCGCTGAAAAAGGTAAGAAGGAAGACGCGCATTGTCGTGTTTGTGCACGAACAGAGCCTGCCACGCAGCTTGTTTTTCTTCTTGTTCTTGTTGCTACTGAATGTGATTTCAGGTGCATCTAATGGAGGTTTTGGGGTTGTTGTTTTTTTTTGATCGTCTGAAGCCAGAGTGCCGCACCTGGCCGCGCAGACTGAAAGTGTACATTTCAGAAACTGCCAGAAGTTCTGCAAGGCGCGAATGAGTCACTGTGTGAGGGGTGTTTAACTTGTTAGGGTGTTCCTCTTCCCTACACCGATCAGTCAGTGGCACTCAATGATGCACCTTGTGGGTGAGGTGGTGTGGGAATTAGTATGTATGTGTTTGGAGGTGGTGGGAGGAGGGTGATGAGGGTGGGGTGGTGTTAGGGTGGATTTTATTCCCTTGGTGAAAAGCCATTGTGAATGGAGGGGACCCACAGCTCCTTCCTTCAAGTTTCTTCTGTCTATGTATGCCCACATGTTCCCATTGCTCCCCTCCATTCAGTCAATGTGTGTGCGTGGAGTGACTCAGCTGTAGTGTACTATATCTGTCATCCATCTTTTCATCTGTCACAGGTGTTACCATGGCTACTACAGACTCACTGCTGTCTTTTCTTTGAGAAGGACTCAGGTAAGTGGTGGGAGGGGTGATTAAGTCAGACCTAATGAGTACATGTCATCCACACTAAAAGGCAGTGCTTTTCATTTAACATGATGTACACTGGGTGTGTCTGAAGGTATGATACAGTAGTATAGTGCTCAAAGCTTCCTTGTTCTGTTCCTTTTTTGGCGGTATTCTTCATGTCAGCACCCCTTTATTCAAAAGATTGTTATTTACGTCTGCAGTGACATATTTGGAGGTATGAATCTGTTCTGGGACCCCTTTGCACTTCTAAGACACGAGAAGGAGTCATGGAGAGCAGCAGGAAGACCTCAGCACAGAACAGAGGAAGCATCAATAACAATAGACATGCAACTTATTAGGTTAGAAACACAAATGTCACTTGATAACAAACTGAAAGAGTGAACACGTGTTACAGAAGGCCTGTCTGTTCAAACTTTCATCTCACACAAGCTCATACATCCACCCTCGTACACTCTCCAGAGTGTTAACACGCCATTTACAAGCAGTTAGATCATCATTGTGGCTCCACATAGAGCCAAAACATTCAGTGTCATTAGCAGACAGTGGTCACTAGGGATCCACTAAGACATTTTTTTTCACAATTTCCCAAATAGTGAGATCTCCCAGTTTGGCTTAAAGCTGGAGTTGATCCCGGGTGTATGGTGGCTCACCAGTTCTTCTGCTTAGGTAGAGTTAAATGCAGAGAATGGGCTTTCCCTACGGTGATCAAAGATGGATATATTATCTAATTAACCATGTAATCAAATTCTTTTAATATATTTCCACTAATGTTCAAACATAGGCAATAAAATTCAGACCCCAGAGTTAACAGTCAATGTCAGTTTAGAGTAGTTTGCATTGTTGAGTGACCTGAGGTAGAAAAGTCCCAACTGGCTGCCACTACATCTCAGCTAACAGAGGTTGAAAGGTCTTATAATGAAGCATTTTTTGTTTTCAATTTGAGAAAATCGCAGGAGAACCAAGGTTTGATTTTCTTCAAGGCAAACACAGAGGTAGATTGTCAGAGGGCAGTGGAAGGTAGAAAATTAGAGGTGGGTGTCATCAGCATCACAATGGAAACTGAGCTTAAATTTATAGAAAATAAAACCAATAGAAAGTAAATATTTGATAAATAGGAGAGTCCTCAGCATGTACGACAGAAAATTAAGAAAAACATTTAATGACCTTTTTAAATTCAACTTCTTTGTCAAGAAAACAAAGTTTAAGTTTGTGAATTAACTACTTGTTTTACTATTAGTATACAGGGTGGGCCATTTATATGGATACACCGTAATAACATGGGAATGGTTGGTGATATTAAAGTCCTGTTTGTGGCACATTAGTATATGTGAGGGGGCAAACTCCTCAAGATGGGTGGTGACCATGGTGGCCATTTAGAAGTC